TCTACCTGCTGCACCCTGCTGGCTTTGCTGCTGTGCTGCTGCCAATGTGAAGCCAGGGTACTGGGGGGGCCCCCAGCGGGGCCCCCGCTGCAGCACAGCCGGGGGGCCCCCCGGGGGGCCCCCCTGGGGGCCCCATCGGGTACCTCGCTGCTGCCAGCAAAATATACAGCAGCAGCAGCAGCAGCTGAGAGCTGCAGCTCCGCAGCCTCCACGTTTCGCCCAGCTGCCTTCTTCCACTGGCGCAGCCAGCCGCAGCAGCAGCAGCAGCAGCAGCAGCAGCAGCAGCGGCAGCAGCAGCGGCAGCGCTTCAAAACCCGCGATTTGTGCCTTTGGGGCTCTTGCGGCGGTTCCAGCGGCAGCAGCAGCAGCGGGAAGCGCGGCAGCAGGCAAAACGGCTCCGCGAACAGCAGCAGCAGCAGCAGCAACAGCTGCAGCAGCAGCAGCAGCAGCAGCAGCAGCTGGGGCCTGCGGCTGCTGCCCGAACGCTCCAAATCTCTAGCAGTTCTTTCTATCCCCGTAGAAGTGGCGCTGCACCCAGCAGCACATGGGGCGCTGCTGCATGCAGTGGCTTTGCTGCAGCGGCTGCAGCTGCTGCTGCTGCTGACGGGGTCTGCTGCTGCTGCTGCTCTTTCGCTCGCTGTTGCTGTGCCCCGCCTCATAGTATTCAGGGGCCACGCCGATTTGCTGCTGCTGCTGCCAGCTAGCACAATTGTGCTGCTGCCGCTGCTGCTGCTGCTTCTAGCCTACAGGCTCTAGAGCAGCAGCCGCTGCTGCTGCGCTGCGCGCCAAGCTGCTGCAGCAGGAAGAGTTCTTCCTGCCGCAGCAGCAGCAGCAGCAGCAGCAGCACGAAGCCGAGGTTTGCTCTCCGTAGACTTTGTCCTCTTTGGGACATTCCTTTTCGCACAAACTGAATTCAACGCAATGGGAAAGCCACGGTGTGGCTAGCTAGTTAGCTAGCTAGCTAGCTAGCCAGCTGGCTAGTTGGTTAGCTAGCTAGTTAGTTAGCTAGCTAGCTAGCTAGCTAACCAACTAACTAGCCAACCACCTAGTTAGCCAGCTAGCTAGTTAGCCAGCTAGCTAGCTCGCTGGCCAGCTAGCTAGTTAGTTGGCTGGCTAGCTAGCTAGCCAGCGAGCCAACTAACTAGCTAGCCGGCTAGCTGCGTAGCTAACTAGATGGCTAAGTAGCCAGCTAGCTAGCTAGCAACTTAGCTATCTAGTTAGACAACTTTTAAGCCAGCTAGCTAGCCAGCTAGGTAGCCAGCTAGCTAGCCAGTTGGATAGTTGTCTAGCTAGTCGGGATGCTGGCTAGCTTGCCAGCTAGCTAGCCAGTTGGCTAGCCAACTGGCTAGGCAGACAGCTAACTGGCTAGCCACCTGGCGGACTAGCTAGCTGAAGAGGCTGGTGGCTAGCTACCCACACGCTCAGCTAGCTAGTTAGCTAGCTAGCTAGTTAGCTAGTTAGCCAGCTAGCTAGCTAGCTGGCTAGCGAGGCAGGGGGATGATGGGCAGCCCGCACGGCTAGCTACTTGCCTAGCTGGATAGCTAGCTAGCTAGCTAGCTAGCTAGCTAGCTAGCTAGCCCGCAGCAAAGTTAAGAAAAGTAGTATCAACTATATTCCCAATGAGCAAGATTACTTTTCTTCAAGATTTTGGCTTCCACTGAAAAGACGAAGCTGCAAGCACCCGCCGCTGCAGCAGGAGCAGCAGCTGCTGCTGCTGCTGCAGCTGCTGCACTCAGCGCAGCGTCAGCCGCAGCCTCATGCGCCCCCCGAGCAGCAGCAGCGGCGGCCGCCACTGCAGCAGCAGCAGCAGCCACTCCCCGAGCAGCAGCAGCAGCAGCAGCAGGAGCGCTGCTGCGCCTCCGCTCCCCTCAGCAGCAGCAGCAGCAGCAGGAGCGCTGCTGCGGCTCCGCTCCCCTCAGCAGCAGCAGCAGCAGCAGCAGCAGCAGCAGCAGCAGCAGCAAGGTCACTTGAGCGGCTGCCTGCCTGCGCGCCTCCTGTGTCTCTGCATGACGAACTGGTAGTTGAGGGCGAGCTGCTGCTGCCTTGTTGCTGCTGCTGCTCGGAAAGCAGCAGCAAAGCCCAACTGCAGCACGGAAAAAGCCCGGAAGCAGCGCAGCCCAGCTTGCTGCCAAGCAGCAACCCACAGCTTCTCTTCAGGTTCATAATAAACTCCAGCAATGCCGCTGCGGCAGACTTCGGGTTTGCTGCTGCTGCTGCTGCTGAAGTCCTGCTGCAGCTTGCCCTGGCGCTGCAGCTGCTGCAGCAGCGCGAGCGCCTTCGCCCGCGCGCCCTCCAGCCCGCCGTGCTGCAGCAGCCCCATTGCTGCTGCTGCTGCTGCTGCTGCTCGCCCGCCGTCTCTCCCGCTGCTCCTGCTTCTGCTGCTGAAGGGCCTGAACAGCTGCAGCCCCTGGCTCTTCCAGCAGCAAAGAAAGCGCTGCAGTCTGCTGTCAAAGACAAGTGCAGCACGAGAGTTTTGCTGCAGCGGCACCCGCAGCAGCCGCTGCTGCTGCGGCCAAAAGAACTCCAGCCGCCGCCCCCGCCCGCTCTGCTGCAGCAGCCCCGGCTGCTGCTGCTGCTTCTTCCGCTTCAGGCCCCCTGCGCGGCCCCCGAACTGCCGCAGCCCCCCCGGCCCTGCTGCTGCTGCTGCTGCTGCTGCTGCTGCTGCTGCTGCGGCGGGGGGGCGCAGCAGGCCCCCGGGGACGCCGCAGCGCAGCAGCAGCCGGCACGCCGGGAACAGGGGCGCAGCAAAACCCGCCCGTGACACACACACGCAACCTTCCTGCTGCTGCTGCTGCTGCTGCTGCAGCTGCTGCTGCTGCTGCTGCGGGGGAAGGAACAGGGGTCGGCGGGACGCAGCAGGGGCCCCGAGAGGGGGCAGGAACGGCGGCCGAGCTGCTGCTGCTGCGCCTGCTGCTGCTGCTGCTGCTCGTGCTGCTCTTTCTGCTCCTGCTGCTGTTGCTGCTGCTGCTGCAGTGCGTCCCCCACTCAGGCTCATGAGGTTAGCAGCAGCAGCAGCAGCAGCAGCAGCAAAGGGGGGGCCCCCGGCGATGCCCCTGAGGGGCCCCCCTGTGGGCAACGGCGGCGGGGGGCCCCCCTGCCCAAGGGCTCTGCAGCAGCTGCGGGCCGCTGGCAGCCACATGGGGTCTTGAGGCTTTAAAAGGGTTTTAAAAAGGAAATAAAAGCAAAAGATTAAATAAATTTAATTCAAAATATCAATTAAATCCATTTTTTGCATCAAATTCGAGCAGTTTGCGCAATTCCTTCGCCGCTCGCTGCGCGCAAGTAGAATGCAAAAAAGCCGGAAGAAACGAAAGCTTAAAGGGAAAAAACAAAAAGAATAATTCCTTAAATGCACTTTTTTTATTTTTTAAATGCAAAAGGATCCAAATCTTTCAAATCGAAGACAAAACGCAGCTTCAGCTGTGCGTGATGGGGCCCCAGGGGCCCCCGGGGGCCCCTAGGGGCCCCCGGGGGGCCCCAGTGTACCCTCTTAGGGGCCCCCAGGGGGACTCCCAGGGGCCTTTCTAGAGAACTTCATGCCCCCCCCTGAAGTATTCTCTAAGGGGCCCCCGCACAGTCCTTTGGGGGCCCCCAGGGGCCCCCGGATCCGCTTGGGGGCCCCTAGGAGTGCTTTGGGGGCCCCTAGGGGCCCCCAAACGCTCCTTTGGGGCCCCCCTGGGGCCCCCAGAGGGGTGCGCAAGTACCCTTTTAGGGGGCCCCTAAAGGGCCCCCACAGCGTAACCTAGGGGCCCCCAGAAGGTCACCAGGGTCACCAGGGGGCCCCCCAAACCATCCCGCAGAGGGCCCCCAGGGGGCCCCCACGCTGTACCCTGGGGGCTTCCCAGGCCTTGAGGGCCCCCGGGGGGCCCCTGGGGGGCCCCCGGGGGGCCCCTGGGACCCCTCAGGGGGCCCCTGGTGCCCCGCGGGGGGGCCCCTGGGGCCCCCTGAGGGGCCCCTTAGGGGCCCCTGGGGGGCCCCCTAAAACGCCTTTTAGGGGTTTGCCTAGGGTCTATGTGTAAGACATTTTGTATAGGGGGTTTAGGGAGGGGCGAGTTACCGTAAACCCTTAAACCCTAAATCGTAAACCCTAAACCCTAAACCCTATATGCTAAACCCTAAACCCTTAACTCTACCTAGTTGTTATCGAACCATGCGCAGAAAACTCGAATTCAAAAATCTTCAACACTAAACCCTAAACCCTAGGCCCCTCACCCTAAACCCTAATCCCTAGAGCCCAGACCCTAAGCCCTAAACCCTAAACCCTTTTCATTTGCTGCAGGGGTCTAAAACTCATCTGTAGTAAATAAAAGTGCCCAGAAAACTTTGTGCTGCTTCTCCCCAGGGTTTAGCGTTTAGGGTTTAGGGTTTACGCAGAGCTGCCAACCCTAAACCCTAAACCCTAAACCCTAAACCCTCAGCAGGAGCTTACACCGCTGCGCCTTCTGAAGTGGGCAGGATTTAGGGTTTAGGGTTTAGAATTATTTCTTGGAGTGGAGATTAGGGTTTAGAATGAGGGTTTAGGTTTTAATGGGCAACAGCCAGCCCGCAATAGCTTACCCGCTGCAAACCCTAAACCCTAAACCCTCGCGGCTGCGAAGGCCTGAGGCCGTGGTGTAAACCCTAAACCCTCAACTGCAAGAAGCCTCGGAGCCTAGAAATAAACCCTAAACCCTAAACCCTAGAGCTACGAGACCCAAAACCCTAGAGGCGCATCACCACCCCCCCACGGCCCCCAGCTGCAGCAGCACGAGGAGCTGCAGCAGCACGAGGAGCTGCAGCAGCTGCAGCAGCACGAGGAGCTGCAGCAGCACGAGGAGCTGCAGCAGCACGAGGAGCTGCAGCAGCACGAGGAGCTGCAGCAGCTGCAGCAGCACGAGGAGCTGCAGCAGCACGAGGAGCTGCAGCAGCTGCAGCAGCACGAGGAGCTGCAGCAGAACGAGGAGCTGCAGCAGCAAACGCCTACGCCGAATGTCGTGGTGTCTGTACACCACAGAATTTAGTTGCAGCATCCAAACCCTAAATCAGGGTTTACTAGGAACCACTACAGTTTAATTTGTAGCTTACTAGTCGCCTGCAAACCCTAAAATAGCGAATGAGCTCAGCACCCAAACCCTAATTTAGGGTCTACGAACTGTCCGTAAACCCTAATTTAGAGTCTAAGAATAGCCTTTAAACCCTAAAACAGGGTCTACGCTCAAGCTCCAAACCCTGATTTAGGGTATACGAGCCCCCCGGAAACTGGCAGCGCTCGCCGCAAACCCCAATTTAGGGTTTAGGCCTGTCCCGGGAACCCCAAACGAGGGTTTACGTAAAGCCTCTGTTTCAAAGTAAAAAGTAAACTGCAGCATCAACTTGCTGCTGCTGCTGCTGCTGCTGCTGCTGCTGCTGCTGTTTTAATCAAAGAGAGACAAACCCATGTCTGCATCTTCTTCCTCCTCCTCAGGTTCTTCCTTCTTTTTGTCTTTTGCTGCGCTGCTGCTGTCGCCGCCGCCAGCAGCAGCAGCAGCAGCAGCAGGTGCTGCTGCTGCTGCTGCACCGCCGCCACACGGCACCTTTTGCAGCTTCTCCAGACCCGCAGAGATCACCTAAAAGCAAAAGCAGCAAACACCCCACAGCCCCCCGTTGCTGCTGCTGCTGCTGCTGTTGCTGCTGCTGCTGCTAGGCTGCAGCAGCAAGCCTCGCTGTGAAGGAGTGCTGCTGCTGCTGCTGCTAGGCTGCAGCAGCAAGCCTCGCTGTGAAGGAGTGCTGCTGCTGCTGCAGGACCTTCGGCTCCGCGCGGGCTGGGCCTTCTACGCACCAAACCCTAAACCCTAAACCCTAAACCCCAAACCCTAAAGCCCAAACCCTAAGTCCTATCAAAGGCAAAACTGAGTGTCGAGGCGCTGAAGTTGCTGCTGCTGGCTGCTGGGCCGGGCGTGGGGCCGCGGCGGCTAGGGTTTAGGGTTTAGGGTTTACCTCGTGGGCGGTTTTGCCCTGCATGGCGTCAATTAGGGTTTTGAGAACTTCAGGGTTTACCTCCGCACCCACAGCTTCCAAAACCCTCGAAACATCAGCAGCTGTGGGGGCCTCGTTGCCCCCCAGGACAGTCATGAGGTAAGCAGCAACGTACTTCATAGCCATTTTCGCAGCAGCAGCAGCAGCAGCAGCAGCAGCAGGGAAGGTTTTTGCTGTCGTGGAGAAAGCCAGCGCCTCGCCTGACAATCCAAATTTAACCACGAGTGATGCCCGTGCTGCTGCCCTTGTGGGGCTGCTGCTGCTGCTGCTGCTGCTGTGGAAGCAAGCCCGCAGCCGCTGCCGTTCCTCCGCTGCTGCTGCTGCTGCTGCTGCAGCAAAACCCACCCGGGGCTTCTCTGTTTATACTTGCATTTATTTTTATTATTTTACTTTTTATTTTTATTAATTTCAGCGCTAAAATGCAACAGAAGCGAAACGTAGAGCCGGCATACCAAACATTGCTGCTGCTGCTGCTCCCGCTGCTGCTGCTGCTGCTGCTGCTGCGCGCGCTGCTCCGGCAGCAGACACTCGCTGACGAAGAAAAGTTGATTTATTTTACTTAATTTCATTTTAATTTAATTTAATTTTAATTTTATTTTATTTTAAAATCAAAAAGAAGATCCAAAACATTCGCCTCGGGGCATTACAAGCTGCGGCTTCAAACCCTAAACCCTAAAACCATCGATCCTGCGAGACGCGTCTAAGCTGTACAACTCGAATTTCGGTATTCTGTAATCAAAATTTAATTGCAAAAGCCTCTAAACCCTAAACCCTAAACCCTAATCTAGGCGCTGCGGGGTTTAGGGTTTCCGTGCAGCAGTTGCCGCCGAAAAACCCTAAACCCTAAGCCCTCTCTCTAGATTCTGAACCCTAAGACAACATCCAAACCCTAAACCCATCACTCTAAACCCTAAACCCTTTGCTCCAAACCCTAAACCCTCGAACTGGCAGTGCACTGAATTGAAAGCAGCAGAACAGCTTCAGCTGTTCGATCTGCAGCAGCAGCAGCAACAGTAGCTGCGGCAGCAGCAGCAGCAAAGGTAGCTGCAGCAGCAGTAGCCACAGCAGCAACAGCAGCTGAAGCTGCAGCAGCTGTAGCAGCAGCAGCAGTAGCCACAGCAGTAGCTGCAGCAGTAGCTGTAACAACGACTGTATCTACAGTAGCAGCGCAGCAACAGCAGCAGCGCAGCAACAGCAGCAGCGCAGCAACAACAGCAGCGCAGCAACAGCAGCAGCGCAGCAACAGCAGCAGCGCAGCAACAGCAGCAGCGCAGCAACAGCAGCAGCGCAGCAACAGCAGCAGGCCCACGCTCTGTGGAGGCTAAACTACGGATATCTTGACGCCTAGAAACAGCCAAACCCCAAACCCTAAACCCTAAACCCTAAACCCTACACCGCAGGGCGGGGAAACAAATTTTTAAAAAGTTGTAAAATTCATCTGTCTTCTTCAGTGGACTGAAGCAAATGGAAAAGAAGAAATTTTATAATTACTAATTTAAATTAAATAATTAATTAATTTAAATTAATAAATTAAAATTAATTAATCAATTTAAATGAATTAATCAATTAATTAATTAAAAATAATTTAATTGTTCCAGTTGATTAATATATTTTATTTAGTCTTTTGTTCCTTTAATTTCTTTTATTTTTATTTTCATTTTTATTTCCTTCTCTTTCCTTTTTAGTTCTTTCTTTTTTGAATCTTTTAAGAAAGATCTAAAAAAGATTTAAAAGAATTAATTTTATCATCTCATAATAATAATAATAAAGGAATCAATTTCTTTTCATTTCCTTTTGTTTCTTTTTATTTCTTTTTTATTTCTTTTTTATTTCTTTTTTATTTCCTTTTAATTCCCTCTTACATCCTTTTGCTTCCTTTTAAATACCTTTTTTTTTGAATTTAATTTTAATTAATTTTAAATATCTATTTAAATTTAATTTTAATTAATTTCAAATATCTTTTTAATTTAATTTCAATTTTAAAAAACAACTTTTTCATTTGGGTCAATCCAAGCAATCACTTTTAGCTTTTCGCTGTTTCCAACTGTCAAGTCCACATCCACTCGCTTCGGCACATAGTCCCTACGAACAAACAACGCAGCTAGCCAGCTAGCTAGCTAGCTAGCTAGCTAGCTAGCTAGCTGGACAGCTGGCTAGCTGGCTAGCTAGGTGGCTAGCCAGGTGGCTAGCTAGGTGGCTAGCTAGGTGGCTAGCTAGGTGGCCAGCTAGGTGGCTAGCTAGGTGGCTAGCTAGCTGGCCAGCTGGCTAGTCGGCTAACTAGGTGGCTAGCTAGGTGGCTAGCTGGCTGGCTAGCTAGCTAGGTGGCTAGGTGGCTAGCTAGGTGGCTAGCCAGGTGGCTAGCTAGGTGGCTAGTTAGCTGCTAACTGCTAGCTTGCTAAACGGGTAGCTAAATGGCTAGCTAGCTAGCTAGCTAGCTAGCTAGTTGAGTGACTGGCTAGCTGGCTTGCTGGCTAGCCGGTCAAGGGGCACATCAGGACGCTCCAAGCTAGGAAGCTGGCTAGCTAGCTAGCCAACTACTTATCCAGCTAGCTAGCCAGCTGATTCGCTAGCTCGCTGACTCGCCAGCTAGCTAGCTAGCTAGATCTTCGGCTGGTTAGCTAGTCAGCTAGCTAGCCGTCTAGCTAGCTGCTAAAGAAACTAACTGCCTCAGCAAAGCGCTGCCTGCTGCTGCTGCTGCTGCAGCTGAGGCTGCCAGCAGCAGCAGCACAACAAACCCTAAACCCTAAACAGCGGCTAGACGGGTCTGCGGGCGAGGGTTTGAGCCTGGCCCCTAGGGTTTAGGGTTTAGGGTTTAGGGTTTAGGGTTACCTCTTAGCTGGAAGAGGGAAAGCAGACATATTCTCCACCTCAATGTGCTGCCGCATAACCCAGTCAAAAGTGCTCTTCCATCCTGCATGCAGCAGCAGCAGCAGCAACAGCAGCAGATGCAGCGGCAGCAGCAGCAGCAGCAGCAGCAGCAGCAGCAGATGCAGCGGCAGCACTGGCGCAGATGCAGCAGCAGGGACAGCAGCAGCAGCAGCTGCTTCTGCATGTGCTGCTGCGCTGACCGCTGCGTCGCTATGAAGCTAACTAGCTAGCTAGCCAGCTACTTAGCTAGCTAGCCAGCTACTTAGCTAGCTAGCTACTCAGCTAGCTAGCCACTTGGCTAGCTAGCTACTCAGCTAGCTAGCCACTTGGCTAGCTAGCTACTTAGCTGCTTAGCAAGCTAGCTACTTAGCTAGCTAGCGACACGTTGCGGTCTTCCAACTATTAGGCCCAGCTAGCTAACTCGCTTGCTAGCCAGCTAGCCAGCTAGCTAGCCAGCTAGCTAGCTAGCTAGCTAGCTGCGTATGTACCTTCGAATTTGTTTTCTTCTTGAGCATCGATTTCTTCCGTCCCCATTTCTTCGTAGCCTGAAGAAGAAGCAGCAGCACTGAGGGCGAATTGAGACGCAGCCGCAGCTAGCTGCTGCAGCATCAGCTAGCCAGCTAGCTAGCTAGCTAGCTAGCTAGCCAGATAGCTAGCGAACTAGCTAGCTAGCTAGCTAGCTGGTGTGGGGCTAGACACCTAGCTTGCTAGCCAGCCAGCTGCATGCTGGCAGGCTAGTTAGTTAGTCTGCTAGGTAGCTGGCTGGCTAGCTAGCCGGCTGGCTAGCTAGCTAGCTAGCTGACAAATGAGAGAAATAAGTAACAAGGAAAAGAACAGCAAACAAACAGACATAAAAGAGAGAAATTGCGAGGAAGCGAAAATAAAGAAGAATGCGAATAAAAGCAATAAATGAAAAATTAAAAAAATTAATAAAATTAAATTAAAAAAAGAAAAGAAAAGCTGCAAATGTGGCTAGCCAAGTGGGGCAGAGTCCGCAGCAAATTAATTGTGGGGAAATAAAATATAAAAATGAAAGAAATAAATTGAATAAAAAGGAATCAAAAGTCAAAATTGAAAAAATGGACTAATTGTGTTAAACAAAATAAAATGAATTAAAAGCAAAATAAATGCATTAATT